TATTTCGAAAAAACGACAAGGAATTCGATCGCATAACACCAAAAGATTTGGTAGAGGGTCTTTATGAACAGTTGAAACATCATGAAACTGACCTTGAACAACCTTTTGACACAATTCTTGATTCTACAAGTCTTCCATCTGGTACTGGCCAAGTAATCAATGTTGGAAATGGTGCAAATGTTGTTCTTGCCAAGACAAGAGGTAAAACATACAAACTCGGTGACCAATCGTCTGGAAGTTTCATTGTCGCTGACAAGTTTACTGGGGGCTCAGACAAAAATACCATCGTCGAAGGAGGAAGTGATTATAAGAATCTCAATACACTGGTTGTCGGAGTTGGATCTGGTGGAGTGGTAAACAATCACTTGGGTCCACATGCGGTTATCGTTACCGGTGCTACACTGGACGAATTACACTTCAAGTGTGGAAATACTAAGTGTATCAAGGACTCCCAGCAAAACCTCATTATTGATTCATGGTATTCATCTAATTGCAAGAGGCTGCTCTTCAAGAAAGAAGGAAAAACACAGATTGTAGTAAACGGTGAAGACTTTCTAACTGGATCATATAATCCTCCCATCATCATTTCTCACGGTACCGATTTAAAACTTAAGCTTGAACTCCCATTAGAAAAAGACGACGCAGTTATTGATTTTCACGACTTCAAAGGCTTTCTGTGGATCATCTTCAAACATCCGAATATAAGAGATATCACCTTCTGGTACCAACCGTACTTGGCTATTGAGGCAGAAGAACCGCAATCTAAACAAATTGATGCCCAGGTTGTAGTCAATGCTGTCAAGACCCGGTTCAAATCTGGATTAAAGTTCACTGGTGCTGGTGGTGATATTCCTAATAATCAGATCTGCCAGTTTGTCATTGATGCGTCAAGAAGATCAAGGCCAAGGCCAGGGCCAAGGTCATTTACCATTGCCAATATAGATGACGTATCATGTTGATCGATAACCACAATGTACCAATTGTACAACCAAAAAAGAGGACTTGATTTAGAACAAAAAAAAATTGTATGATAAATAAAAATTAAATTAAAAAACAGCGGTAATAATTGTAAATTCTGCTAGTACAATCAATTCAAATAAAAGCTCAGTTCTGCTGATCTATTAGTCAATAAAACGTAACTCGAGGTCTGTGAATGGGGTTAAACGACTAGCGACAAATGGACAAAATAACAACTGACTAGCGACACATTTGAACAAAATTTACTGATCACTGACAACAACATATTTACTGACTGGCGACATCAGCTTCTCGGAATACAATGTTTTTTTGTATTTTTCAAGCAACAACATTCGAAGTTTCAGCGGAAAAATAAATTTGGCTTCCGACGATTGACTTCTTGAATTTTTGCTGAGTCACTCTAAAACTTTGAGTGGCATCCAATTGAACAATCAGGACTAAAGGATTCAACGTTTGGCATTTTAGAAAGCATTCTGTTGATATAACGCATCGCTTTAGATGCATTCAAACTTAATGTTTATCAATTTTTTTAAAATAACAAACTACCGTCAAATGCCTTGAATTTTAATTGACTACCGACAAATGCTTGTAATTTTAACTTACTACCGACATTTAGACCCCTCCCCCCCATTCAGACCATGGTAAATATATCAAGAAACCCTAAAACAGGAAACAATTACATTTCATTCTCAATGTCATTAATCATACTATGAGGGGAGGACAAGGAATCAATTGTCAACTTTAAACAGAGAATTTCTCCAGTAACTCGATCAGTAAGCAAGAAGAGCAATTAAATTAGACCGGGCTGGGGGTACTCTACTATATTTGCTATATGGGTAAGTGTCTCGCTATAAGGTAAGTTTTTCGACTTTTAAATCTGCTGGGGGTAGGTATGCTTTCTTGACATTCAGTCTGGATATTCACAAATATATTTCAAGATTTTTAAGGGATCATGTGTTCTAATTCAGTATCTCATTCAAGAAGCAAGAGAAACACTCGCTAGCTCGTGTTCCTAAGCTTGCTTCTCTCGTGTTTTTCAAACTCCCACCGTGTTTATATCAGAGGACAGAGACACGCGCGCCGTTTTATATTTCTTAAATATACATTGTACATTTGGGTTTATATCAGAGGACAGAGACACGCGCGCCGTTTTATATTTCTTAAATATACATTGTACATTTGGGTTTATATCAGAGGACAGAGACACGCGCGCCGTTTTATATTTCTTAAATATACATTGTACATTTGGGAGCTCAGGGCCAAACTGACAATATGTCCAGGGAAATGAAAATGCACCAGCTGGTGGCATCCTCTCTGTAGGGCGAAAACGTTTTTCTTCTTAATTATGTTACGTGCTGACAACTTCTCCAGGGATAGGTCCCTGTTAAGGATGGTAATCAAAGTCTTGATCTCAATTTTTAACGGTAGCAATCGAGGAGTTATTGGAGGGGGACGAATCTGTCACTCACTCAGTCACTCACTTTCCTGTAAACTTGAGCCTGTGTTACTTGTGTTAAAAACTATTAATTTATTATAATTGTTCTCTAGTAATTTACTCATTAATTTACCGTTACCTGGTTCCCTGTTCTATATTTGATTGAATTTATTTATTTATGGTCAAAGAAAGAAATCTAAAGAAATGTCAGCTCCTCTGAGTCTTGAACCTCACTCGACCACGGATGCAAAATGTTATATAACTGCGGTTAGACTTGTCTTTGAAGTGCAAGTGTTCGCTCCTGGTTGTGAAGAAAAGGTATTTTACGATATAATCTGCTTTCATGTATTATATCATAACCAGAATATAACATGGTCGCTTGCAGATACTAATTTTATTTTATTATTTTATTTTGGCTACGCTCACTCGTGAGAGATCATTTCAACACTCGAAGATAATATCCGTATCTCCTCGCGCCAATGTAATATCCTCTATTTTTTATCCAATAAATTATAAAGGTCGAAAGGTTTAGGAGTGTACTTTTGTCTGTGTAACTCTTGTCTAGGGAGTTTTGCACAGTGCAGTAAGATCTGCCCCAGACGAGCCATGTACACTCAACTCATATATTATATTAGGGAGTAAATACCGTGCACACTTTACTTGTTATTGAGTGCAACGCAGATTTGCACCAAGTTTCTCTATCGCTGTTCACACACTCCCAGGAATTTGAGAAGTGTTGACAGTATCTACTACAGTATTTACGGACTTCTCTATGTGATTATTTCAGCTTGACTACTACATCAGCAGAACTGAACTTTTATATTAGATAACAATATTTTCCTCAATTTTTGATCATGCATCTTTCTACTCTTCGACATGCTCCATTCCATCCACCTTTTTCGTCACCTGTTTCTTTACACTTTCTTTAATAGTTTAATGATATTTCTATTTGCATGCATCTTGTTTATTTGCACCGATCCCATTAAATTTTGATTTTTATTCACCATGCAATTTCTTACGTTTGTTCTGTTATAAATCCTTATTTGATACACGCTTTGCATGCCTGGTACTGATTGAAAAAATATAAAAAATATATATTTTATTGTTAAACACACAATTATTATTCCTATAGGTACATCTGATTACAGTAGAGATAATTGAACAGTGTATTTCATTCTATTAATTTGACACTTAAAACTCCCGAAAGTCGTGTCTCTGTATAGATTTAAAGACGTCATTGGAACGTTTATGATGCGAGTTAGAAGCTGAAAGAAGAATTAGAAGGCAGCTAATGAATTTTGATTTGGCGTCATTTTTGACAAACATTATGAAGAAACATCGTACCTTAACGTCCTTTTTATCTCAAATCAGTGATTTTCCCTGAACAATTTTCAATAGATCAATGAATCAGACAATAAAAAAGAGCGTTCCGTCTAATTTTGGTACCTGTTTTGAGAGGTCCCTCTATTTGATATATTATCATGAAATTTTAAGGGTAGAAAATCAAAAACTTCTCACTATGAAATAAGAATTCATGCTGTTAAAATAATCCGTCAAATGCTCACCATAAATTTTCTTTTCAATTTTTTTTCTTTACAAACTTGGAACCGCACGTGATCGACAAATAAAATGAGGCGGAGTTTTTATTCCACCTCATCGGAGGCAAACAAAGGAAAATTATGGAACCGACACGTTTTTCCGCGAAACAGGGAGAGCACTATTAACTTAATAGCAATAGCAAAACATCAGTAATACTGGATATATCATTAATACAGCACCGATCGAGAGCTGCTTTTTGATTGCTGCAATCAAATTTCGAAGTTTGAATTCAAATTTGATTTCAATAATGTAATGTTGAATCGACCAAGAATCGAATAATGAATTGAATAATGGTGTTTTGAGGGGGCGCGCTTCATGTCTTTTGACCGTAAGTACAGCAGCTCTATTGTTAGGTTAGCTAATTTTTTTTTATTGTTGGAAGAATGATTGTTTTCTCTTTACATTGTTTTATCAATCTATCACGAGACCGCGTTTCGATCCGATATATTTTAGTCAGTTAAAGAGCACTTTCTTGTCGCTTGGTTGTTAAATTGGATTCATTTTGAAGTCATAGTAATATACCGCCACTGTTTGTACCACCCATTGTTACATCCCGCTGTTGGAACCTTCTAGTCCTCACAAGAAAAAACGAGTCCACAATGTCATGTATCTTTTTAATTCTCCAAACTACACAGACTTTGTGATATCCTTCTACATCACTGTTGAATTGGTTTACGCGATTAACGTGTCGAGGACATTAAAAATCCATCATAATTAGCGTTTGATGTGAACGTGTGGCATATACCCTGCAAGTCATTAACCTTATAAAATAAGAAAATATCGAAATTGTATAGTGGATGGCCTGATCTTAAGTTTCGTCTGCTGAATTGAGCTGAAGAGAATCATATATAACACAATGATTGAGTAAACATCTTAAAATATTCACTTGTTTAATATTGATGACTTTAAAGCTATCCTAATTATTCGTTTAATCGCTCGTGTGTATCTATCAACCGGTCAAATGAAACAGGTACAACCACGCCCATRTACTATCAATTGCAAGCTTTTTGTTGTAAACTCAGGAGGAGGTTAAGACATCAAACATTAGTCAGCTAAYCACAACCTGTCTTTTATATTTCTAGTTCTTTCGAGAACAGAACCTGTGTCCCCGTGACCGGGGTRGACTTATAATTTAACAGGGTACATGAGGGGTGAAAGCTAACCACTTTTCAAAAGTGATTTTCTTTCTTTTCTCGCTAAATAAAATTTCAAATCAATCATACTCCTTGGAATGAAGTTTACAGAGGGTAATTCGAACATATTCGAACAAGTTTGACGTGAAATTAGAGGACTATCTTTGACATATATCAGCCTTGTCCGTTGATATATATATAAATACGTGATCAGTCAGAATTTCATCAAATGACAGCAACACTATCTTTTGTTTCTGATGTACAAAGCATAACTGGAATCGTATCTCTACTTCTTTAGAAAAAGTAGAGCCGAAGCCTACAAACAAATTAAGAAATATTTGGTCGAAATACTATCCACATTGTAGCCATAATCYGTTGTACAATAAATAGGCTAGGGTACATTTACATAATATATTCACTGACAATTCAGAGAACAAGATTTGTACTTACTAATTAACATATATGCTATATATATATTTATAATTTCCCTGTCGAATGTAAATAAACTAATTCCTAAGAACATATCCACGGTCTGTGGTCACCAAACAAAGCCAAAGCAACAAGATCATCTCAATCCATCTTTCCATGCTGTTTGACATTCCTAATACTGCGAAAGCTACCCTTAATAGTGTATTATAAAATGCACTACCAATGATGTATGTCTMAGACAAYATTTCAAGTCTGACGTCTAGCTAACAAAACGTTTTCTCTCAATTCAAGAGTGTTTCCAAGCAACGAAGTATGTCTCTATAAACTCGGTTTTAATCCATCAAGAATTTTGTGTGAAAAGATTACAACTTTATGAAAGGAGCTCAGATGGCTTAGTGTAATAACTGAGATTTGGATGGAAAAGGATCTTTCGCGTATTAAGCTTCCTCATATCCGACCAACTGTGCGTCAGACATCATTGCTCGCCAGTTCAGACGAAARGAGACTTGGAAATGTTGACTTTGATGTCCAAAATCTTAAGAATTCGAATCAAAGTTCGACTCACGAGAGACCGATTCACTGGAAATCGGCACAGTTTTCTTTGGACATAGATGTAAGAAGAGACAATAGAAGCTTTGGAAGACRYAGAAGGTCCACTTTGGAATCATCWTTGAAAAGAAATGGAACAAGTGATCATGATCAAACGTTCCAGAGTGAAAGAACGTTTACTTTACCTCTTAGGAAGCATAACTCTGAGCCTTCTTTACAGCAGGACAATAATCCATTTACTGTGAAGGCTAAAYCTTTGAAACTGAATTATAGAGTAAAAGAAAAAACTAATAATGAGAAGAAGTTATTTGATGATTTGCTGCCGTCCGTGTTTTTTGATACAAACATTGCACATAAAGAGGACGAGCAACGAGGTAATATTTCTAAAGATAAGAAGAAGAAAATAAAAAGCAAAGTTTTCGAGGAAAATAAACGAAATATGGCTAAAGAAAGAGGCTGTAGCCAAACTCAAGCATTTAAAGAACCTATTTACAGCAACAAATATCGCCAAAAAGTCAAAGAAAGTGTCACTGATCAAGATGTCCTACGTAAACCTCGCAAAATTTTGCCAAAGAGACGTTTATCAGAACAAATTGATGCTTACGAAGTTAATCGTGGTGAGGACCGTGCTTTWCCTCGCCGAATAACAATAAGAACTTCAAAATCCTGTCCAACTATTGTCATTCACGAATGTGGTGAGAGCGATGAAACCACAGACGAAACATGTYGTGCAGACAATGGTAATGCGGGTAATGATTCTAAAGAAATGGTTAGTGTACATGTACAAATGAATGGATGCCAAAGTTTGAATAACGATACCACTTCTTTTGTTTCTTGTTGGAGACCAAGAGAAAGCATTGCGAACAAGAAATAAATGCCGGGAATAAATGCAACTGAAAATAATTCAGGAGACAAGAATATCGACATAACATGCTGTCATAGGGTGACACTATGCGACACTGTGCGAAGRATAACTCTTGCTTGATAATGATTGACAAAGACTGCACTTCTATTGTGTCTTGCTGAAGAACCAAAACAGAAAAAAGAAGAGATGGAAATTGGAAAACAAAAAAAAATCAAAATATGCATGTACTCATACACTATATTCCAAAATGCCACCCTTTGTTCAATTAGCCCTTGTTTTCTCACTCTCATAAAAGTTTTCTTTTGTCTTTGAGCTTCAGTGACTTTAAAAAGAAAAGAACAATGTCATGAAAACGAGACATCAAGGGCTAGTCAGTCATTTTGGAATAAGGTGTATAGGGCTAATGCAATGGAAAATAACTATTGACAGTCTGTGAAAACTTATCATAACACAATGATTCTTTTGATTGGGTTTATTTTTTTTTTTTTTTTTGATAGAGATCGAAAGAAAAAAGTTTTGGGATCAGAAGGTAAATAAATTAATATATCGGTGACCAAAAGTTTCCTGAAACAGATGCAGGTATAGCCTAGCTTCTTTTGCACCTGTGTAAGATGGCTTGAAGTGCCTTGATTGCATCATGGTTGCTRGGACACTGACAACTCTTCATTTTGATGCAGGTGAATTTTTGTGGTTGTCGTWCCATACTCAATTCAATCACGCAGTTATGCTGTTTGATACTAAGAGAACATTGCCACATACAACTGTTACGCAGCCGTTGTCACATTAATATTGGACAGTTGTGATTCAGTGGGGAAGGAACTCATCCAATACACAAAAAGGTATCAGGCAAGCTGAAGTTTCACTTGTGACAATGTCCTCTCTATAAATGGCAAGATTCTTGCAATTAGTGTTGCTTGGAAGGCAAACATGAACCACATGAAAGTTTTGCTATACTCKATTGGAAAATCGGTTTTTGATGGAGACTTGCTCCTATTTTAAGGACTAAGGTTTACCTTGCTCCTTATTTTCCCTTTGACAAAGCAAATCATCCAATGGAAACACTGATTTGATTAAACCATTATAACATAGGTTTATCAATTTAACGTTTGACAAAAACGACTTTTGGACATTGGTCCCGATTCGCCAAACCAATCGCCGCTTTTCTATGTATYTATCGTTTATTATTTAAATCGTTTTATCACAACTGTTTCGGTAGGAAAAGAATAAACGAACGATAAGTATAGTTTGCCCGTTTATTAGAAGTCGAGATAACGAGGTTCGGGATAAGTGGCCGTTTAATGGCGGTTGATCGCTAAATAGAGGGGCATAAGACTCGGGGAGAAGTTCACTAAGCACGAGTTTGTGGTCAAATTAAAACGTTCATACGAAAATACAGTATGTACCTTGTCATGTAAAAAATAGTTRTATTTTTCATTATGTTGTTGATGAAAACGTAACATCATGGCTCTGTGATAAGGAAATCCTTAATTTTCACTAGTATTCTTAACTTTTGCGATTTTGTTCAAAACACAGAATCATGTCAAAATGTCAGAATTATGCCAAAATCATTTAGTTTAATTTTGAACCTAAAGTAATGTATAAGTATAAGAATGAAGTAGTCACATGACACCAATGCGGAACACAGGAGCAGTTGTATGCAATGACTTCGTAGAGTTTGCGTTGTGAAATTGACCAACTACTAGTGAAATGTATGCACAATACATATGGTATTTATATATTTATTTTACCTTATTGCTCATTGTTATAAAAGTGATTATAAATACAAAAACATTTTTATGGCTATTAAACTGGCATTTTCAGTAGAGATGGACATTCGTACTCTTTTTCAGACTGAGGTATAGCGATTTTTATTGCAAAAAGCATAAACAAAGCGTTTATGCAAATTTAACTTTTGGAGTCAAAGTAAAWAAAACCTCAAACTAACGATTACTTGAGCTGCATCGCCTGATGGTCGCTAGGCAACATGATCTAGTAATGATCCCTTGGATCATCCTTAAGTCTTTGTTGCTTTGTTTGTAATAACCTTTAAGGATTAGCATAAAACTCTAAAGAAAACCGTCAATTTCATTATCTTTTTATCCTTTTAAACTTCTTTCTTAGGTAAACAATAATAATTAAAGTTATTTTGAAAGAGGAGAATCCAGTAATAACTTCAAGTTCCAGTGCCAAGTTGTACAATTGGATTGGAGTTTTAAATTAAAGCTTTAAAATAGCTTTCATTTGACACATTCACAGACGGGCTGATCTTGGCTCAGTACAGTCAACTTCATCAAGTTGATTGTATTGTGTTTGCAGAGACAAGCGATTAAGTCCTTTGGTACTTGGAAACCCAGACACGCTTCTTTAATATTTGCGACCCATCAATGTCAATGACTGCAACTTATGTGGCGTCATCRTTGCTAGAGTGATGCTTTCATATTTGGACTACATAAATCAGTGCTGTTTGAGTCGAGAAACAGGCGATGCGACGATCTCTTATTTACCATAAACTATAACACTGGCAATTCATTGAGGCATTGGCACTTTCCAAGAGCTATGTACAAGTTCAACTGCTGCAACTTTTGTTATGTCATCATCATATAAGAGGTGCTTTCGCGTTTCATCTCAAACGTAAACTTCCCTTGAGCAAGCAGCTAATTCAGCGCTAAAATTGTACAGATTTTTCAGCAGCAGTCAGCACCAGCAATCCAGCTATTTGCAAGTGTAATACCTTTGACAACTCGAGTTGTACAAGCTGTAAATATTCAAGTTACTCTTTCCAGCAGTGCTTCCAAGTTTCAGMAGTAAGTCAATACCATTATTGCGGGTGCAGTTCAACGTATTCAGAGCTAAAATCGTTCAGATTTTCCTAAAGCTTTTGCTTTACCTTCAAACAACAGTTTCAGTGATATAGTCAAAGATATCGAGGAATATTTTCCTATCTTCAAAAGCGAGTGAATGCATTACAGCGCAAGAATGAGTAATACACAAACTTTAAAGAAGCGTTTGGATATGATCATGTCGAGGGAAAAACCGAAAAGAAAAACTTCATCAGCAAAAACACGTAACCTTGGAATGCCTAAAAACTTTAATGGACGACCAATACGGACTTCACACTATCCGAACAATGACATTATGTCTCAGCTTGACAGCGATAAAAGCAAATGTAGTCATTCTTTGAGTCTAGAACCAAAATGGCGCGAGAGAACTTCGACTTCCCGTCAAGCATTGCAGGATACAAACTCTTCGGGAAGCTTGTTTATGTTTAAAAAATCATCATTAAGTAGCAATGAACATGGCATGAACTTTGCAAGACTGAATGTTGCAGAAAGTCTTCATATTTCAGCTTTAAAAGAAGAAGAGCGAAGAGGACGAATCATTCTGACGTCCAGAGAAAACCTCGTACAAGAAGAGCATTTCCTGCCTGGTTTGAAATTCACGGATGTRAATCTTCGCTTGAATTCCTCGGCGATTAATAATTTAAAACTTAAGCAGGCATTCAAGACAAAGGACTGTAAAATAAGCTGTTCAAAGAAAATGATTGAAATACGAATTCCATCAATGAGTCCAGGAGGCGTAGAGGAACAACACCCGAAAATTAGAAAACTTCAACCGCATTTTTTATATCGACATAAAAATATTTGAACTATAGATTAATTGTATGAGGAAGTAGCTGATCCCATTAAAGAGTGCTCAATACACATAAAGTGTAGAGCTAGTTGTATATATAATATCAAAGAGGCAAGATTTTGCTGTAACTCCGAGTTTCGTGCTACGCACTCATCAGACAGTATTTAATGATAAACATTCCTATAATCTAGATATATATACACATGAACTATAGATTAAATAAGTTTGATCAGTAGAGTTATTGTATATATTGAATTACTGTATTTAGGTATAATAATTATTTATAGAAGGAAGAAGATGATTTTACTCTAGATCAGCTAGTGCAGCTCATTTTAAGAAATATGCGCTGACTTTCATTTGGGAGGGCAGAGACTGAGACATCAAACATCGGTCACCAAAAGCTTTTATTTAAAACTATTGAATATCTATTCACAGTTATTTTACTATAACAGCTATACAACAAATACCAAGGAAAAAGTAACTTGCTAAAACTTTATAGCTTGTTTTTAAGTGAAATTACTATATAATAATAAAGCAAGTACGAAKAATTAGTATGAACACACTATAGAATAAGTGAAAAAGTTTTCTTCAAGAATTCTCCATTGATATATGCCCTMTCACTAGGACAAACATCGTTGTCTTTGCRTTTGGTTATAGTATCTCCCTCTACTAACTATGATTTTGTCTAGTCTTAGTAAGCTACGTGAATCACTGGAAAAMATCGCACGCCATAAAGGTTGTAAATTTGATGTAAATATKATGTAAGTGTCCAAAATGATGGAAATTTGATGGAAATGATTTACATCAAATTTACATCATTTTGGACACTTACATCATATTTACATCAAATTTACAACCTTTATGGCGCGCGATTCTTCCAGTGAATTCTAGAGAAAGCGGAAGACTGGACTGAAAGAAACCTATTATTTTATGATAGACGAATATCTATTTGCGTAGAACTATTCATTATTTATTTATTTACATGTTTTTTTTTCATATGTACGGTGAACCTGAATATATCAAAATGGCAGTTTGATATCAATCCTTTTGATTGGGCTATTGGTATGTGTATCATCAGTCTCCGGTGTATCACATTCATTACACGTTGTCATATTTCTTTCATCCACTTCATCT